GATGGGGGCCCCCGCCTGCCTGGCCGGGCCCCGCGAGCGCGCCCCGATCTTGGGAGCAGGGTTGGTCAAGGACCCCGGATCCCACGGTAAGTGAAGGCGAGGAGGCTGCGGGGAAAGGGTCCGGGGCAGGGTAGCTGACCACCTGGGCGGTGGAGAGGGCAGATGTCCGCTGGGCACGGAGGATACGGGTCTTGAGATGGCGGGGTGTGGGGGGGGGAACCCCAGGAAGTCATTTGTCCGCAGAAAGCCCCAGCCAGAGCGACCCTCAAGTCTGCACGCCTACCTTTGCTGGTCCTAGAAGCCTGCGTTGCCGGTGGCTTTTATCTTTCGTTACCCTTTTTTGGAAGATGTTATTTCGGGTTCCTGGCCGTTATAATTTTGCAGATAGCTTGAAGCTGGGTTATCTGTTCCACGCCCCCGGCATTTTCCTTTTTGAGTACTTTATCTTGCGCTGTATCTCCTGCCATAAGGGGCATCCAGCCAGAATGGGAGATTCCTTCCCCCAGGAGGAAGCTTCACGGTCCCTACCTGGTGCTAGGAAAATTCACTGCCTTCCTCAGGTAGTGGTTGCTCTTTGCTGCTCAAGGGGAAAATGGAAGGTGGTGCTTTCTGTGGCGTTGGACTTGGGATTCTATCAGTAAATGACAACAGGGAGCTAAGCATTTCCTGAAGCGATATATTAATAGATATCCTTGCAGGTTAAGGGCTAATCATTTGCAGTCTGCAAAGTTTTAATGTCTGCGGATGCAGCCTTCCCCTCCCATTACTGTTGTTTCTGTTTAATATTTATTTCTACAGTGTGATTACATTCAAAGGAGCTTCTCAAGTAGCTTTCTTTTTAGGCAATCCAGGTTAGTTTCAAATGATACATTCCCAAACGGGTGCTAACTTCAATATTTCTATTAGTAATACACTGCTTAATCAACATGCTCAGACGCTTAGAACTCACAGAGGTGAGAAGAGTTAGGCTTATAACCAGCTCAAGTCCCAGGGCTTACTGAAGCATTAGGTGAGGACAGACACGAAAATGTTCATATTTTAGTTTCATCATTGTTCTAGGGTGACTTTTTCTGTTAGCAGTATGAAATATGCAAAACCCAAACTGAGGGAATATTTACTTAGATCATAAACTGATTTTCAGGATTCTGGTTCTTTCCACAGTTCATAAAATTAAGGGCTACCCAAATGAAACTTCAGTGAAGGATTTACATTAAAAACAGTACAAGGAAAGAGTCCCTTTGGTTACTTTAGGAGAGCCACCAAACCCAATCCATAGGGCTTTGATCAAAGAATCACCTCACATCTCCCATCTTTGTTGCTGTCGTACCATTTCGTGGGTTAAGTTTGACATACACCTTTATATTTCCATAACTAGTTTGCCAATTGCATAACTTGTCAGTTTAAGTTTGGATTTTAAGTTAGTTCCAAAACCAAGAAAATATAAAAAATTTTTAAAGCTTGGTTTTAAAGTAGCAAGAAATCAGCCTAGTCTTAGGATGATTATGAGTTGATAGGCTGCATTATGGTTAATTAAATAACCATTAGGCAATTTCTAAAGTTTATGACTAATCCATTTGTTCCAGATTAGCATTTCCAGATAACTCATTTTCTGATGAAACTCTTCAACCACAGTTTCAGAGCATAGGTTTCAGAAATAGGCAATCTTGCGTTGAATCCGAGCTCTGTTAACCTATTAGCTTTGTAACCTTAGGCAAGTTGCTTCATATGTAGTTGGCGATAGCACCACCTACTCACTGTGTAATATTGTGGTGAGAATAAGAAACGTATGTAACAGTGCTTAGCACTGCCTAATACACAGGGCTGCTCGATAAATGTCAGCTGTCATTAACTCTTACTGACTTCCAACTATGTGCCATTGTGGTGGAAAAGTATGACCCCGCAGATACTGCAATGCAAATGTTAGAATTATACAACTAATGTAAGAGTAGAAGAATGACAGTAATGTTGATTATTCCTAGGAATATGTGCAAAAAGTAGTACTTCCTTGATGGAATATATATCGAAATCTTATGGCATAATGGAGAGAACACTGAAGTTTTGGGACAAAACACAAAGTTTTGGGACCAGCAGATGACGTGTTGGTTAAGGCGCTGGACTCCCACATGGCTGACTATAGTTCGAGTCCAAGACCTGGTGGTTTGCTTTCTCACCTTCCCTCTTTCACTTTGGTCAAATTAAAATAAATGAATAAAAAAAAATTAAAATAATTCTCTAAAAAAATAAAAAGAGTCAAAGTTTCTAATTCTAAACCAGGCTATGACCTTATCTAGCTGTATGGTTTTTGGCAAGCCTGCTGCTCCCTCTGAAGCTGAATTTTGTCATCTGGCTGGACTTGAAAAATCTGAAATTACTCCAGAATTCTGTTGCAGCTTCTGAATTCTTTACTGAATGTTATAAAAATTACACGAGCTTGCTTATCACCCTACCTTTCACTATTGTCCTTTGTTAAACTGGCAATTTAGTCATAAATAATTCATAAAGAACTGATAATATCAGACTTGAAAGTAATTCAAAATGAAGTTTTAACATAAAGAGTAGAAAATAGATTCCTACTGAAATCTTTCTGGTAGAGCAAAAGTCAACCCTAATTCTCATTCTCCAGTCATTTCAGTAAGTTATTATATGGAAAATATGCCTGGGAGGATCTTAAACATTCAACTGAAATAGTATCTAGAGAAAATAATAAACTCATGGTGAAATAAAATACCACTCTTTTCTCTCATCAGGTTGATCTTTAAATAATGCAAAAATTTACCCCGTAAAGGACTTTCATGAAGAGAGGAATTACAAGCCACAGAGAAACGAAGCATTGTGTACTAGAGAAAACACCTAAAACAACTGTATGGAGTAAGACAAAAGGAATGAATACATCTGAAAGAAATTTTACTTAGTGTAATAGCTTTGCTCACTTTTATTTACTTATTTACTTATTTTTTGGTCCTAACGGCTGCTATGGAAGGGAGAAGAGAGTTTTCTAGG